AATTGTGTACGAAGTTTTTACATAGATAATAAATGAGATTATTAATAAAACACAAAGTAAAATTTGATCCATATAATACACAATAAAATAATAATTATTGCAATAATATAAAAGAAAACAAGTTAATCGTTGTTTAATAAAAAACCTTTACTTAAATACTCTCGACTTAGCACGTTGGGTGGCGCACGGACTAGAGGGCGTTAGTATCGATCACTCATTCTTTTTTTATAATCTTTAATTTATGTAATAATAATTTATAACTAAACAGTATTATTATCAAAAATTATGTATTGAAGGAAAATTATAAAAACAGTAAATCAATTCCTTTTGTCAATTCCGATTAGTTTATAACCTATTTAAACATTTTACTTAATTAAAAAACTATACAAATTAAAACAAATGTATATTTTATAATAATTTATGAATAACATATTCTATTATTAAACATTTGTAAATATAAAAAACATAAGTGTAAGCAGTCGAGTACTATCGCCCAGCGTGCGACACACAGGGATCACTCAGGTTGCTGCAATATGGGAAATGGACGCACTCTCTCTCTACGTTACAATATAGATAGTTTTAATTTGATTTTCTTACGAGAATTGCAAAAAAATATTTTGAAAATATTTAAAAAATATGACTGTATTTTGATGTTCAGCAACCTAAGTCATGAAATATTAGTCGATTATACTATCGACTATTAGTCGGTATAAGTCCAATGCTTCCTATAGAGTGGTTCTTCTTTTTTATTCGAATCATGTTAACAACACAAGAATCTTTAACAATTTAATTAATCTCTTAAAATAAACTAGAAATGTTTCAATCCTTGATATTATGTCACGAGCTTGATTTAAATAGTATATTAGGATAATGATTATCAACGATCAATTAATTTGTACAAATTAAAGATTGAAAAAAAAGAACATTCACCCTAAAACCCAGTGATGAATATGTTAATTGATTGATTGGACTAAATAGTTGACTACGAGACTAATTTCAAATAGTCGAGTTACAGAATATTCGTACACTCGAGGCGACAAGAAAATATATCCGATTTTATTCTATACATTTGGTCAAAATATTAAAAAAAAGAAAATGTACAATTATATACTACAAATTAGTATTACATATGTATAAGCTGTAACTTAATTCGCGATGGGTGATTTTACTGGTGAGGAACAGAATAAAAAAACAACAAAATATTGTTTTCATTCGATACCTATAAATAGGAGCATAAGTAATCCTAAGTAATGTGTATCTTTAATATCTCAGTAATGTGTAATAAATAATAAATTGTTTTGTGATTAGCTTATAGCCAAAATGACAACGTTTATTCATATCGAAATTCACAAACGAACAACAAAATATTAAACATTTATGAACCAAATATTGGTTTTTGTGATTGTCATTAACTAAATTAAACTTGCCTGGCAGCTTTCATTAAATACTTTTACAATTTATATCATATATATAATGTTTATAATCATATCAAATAGTAAATTCATAGATTTTAGATTTCGCCATAAAAAATGCATCCTAACTGAGGCACGAAATGATCACTCAGATAAATAATTTTAAAAAAATACTATCAATGTGTAAAAAAAATCTTGTACTATTTAAAAAATCAAGTATTCGTTCCTTGCCAGTAAAACCACGTGAATACAAACATTTTGCGCAATTTATATCGCAATAATTTGCCTTAAAATACAATATACACGATATTTACAATGGAAGTTATCTATCTATACATTTATTGATTGTCAATTAGGAATACAACCCCGACTTTACGTTACAGTCGTGTGTTCGATGCTGCTGAGCTCTGTAAGTGCAATAATTGTTAACTTTATAAATTTCTATTATCAACAATATATTTAGTTACATAACGTTTACTTTGATCCTTTTAACTACTGTGGTGTTTTTTTTATGGTTTAGGGGAGTAAACGACCAGGTTGGTCATCTGATGGTAAGTGAGTACCGTCGCCCAAGGATAACTGCAACTCAAGAGTTATAAGTGCATTGTCTCCCTTTTAGTCCCTTTCCTCAGAATTAGAGCAACAGGAGGGTTTTGACTCCGGTAACCCTTTTATTTTAAATTAATTATTAATTTTATCATATTAATATTCACCCATACATCCAATACTGCATGTTACACACACAAACACTTGTTCATTAAAATCATTCAACCGTTTCCCAGTCAGAAATTGTTTAAATAGAATTGAAAATTGAATGCACACAGAATAAAGGAAAAAAGAAGTTGTCATTTTGAAGAGCTAATCACATCACACATTAACAGCCTTCAATAGTCCACTACTGGACATAGGCCTCTCCTTAGAAAGGAGGTTTTGGCCTACTATACCACGCTGGCCAGACGGGTTGGTATAGAACTAATGTTGAAGAATAATAATAACAACCCACCAGGCAACCTTGGGGTACTTGTACATCCGAAAGCCGGATCCCTCTCCTTTTTAAATGGCTTAAAAATGTGATAAACATAGGAAGATGTTGAAGTAACGATAGGAAAGAGGTAAGGTTGAGTAGAATTTTAATCGAATAAGAGAAGAAGAACAAATTATTACAAGAGTTGTGATGTTCTTTTTGCTGGTCACTGAAAGAGGGTTAAAAGGGGTTTAAAAAATTTAACCTGTTTTACTATGGGTCTTTTTACAGAACTTGGATATCGCATAGTACTTGGGGTGTGAAGGTTTGATGGCAGTCGCTCCACGTAAAAAACGAAGTTCAGCCGTATCGTAGTAGAGTTAAAGACGACCCCAGCCTAGATTGGGAAGAAAGGCTCGGAGGAAGAAGAAGATTGTACTATGGGTATATAACATATGGGAGACAATGAACAAAGTTAATAACCATCGGTTTTGTTATTATAGCCACCGGTAAGTGCTTACTTGCTTGTGTATACATGTCTGCAGACATGAACAATTTTTTTAAATTAAAAGATACTGCTATGGAAGGCAGTACAGAAGCGAGCTCTCGTATGCTTGTAAAAAAATAAAAAGCCTAGATATTGGAAACTTTCAAATCGGCAATTGATTGCGTTGCTTTAATAAATTAAAAAGATTAAAAACGACGCATATGATCTAACAAATACTCTTGATCGTCTAGAGGCCGAATTACAGTTGAACACCACGACCACAATTCAGTTGAACAGCATTTCCGTTTTGCGACTGTAACTGTAATTTTTAAATTTGTTTTTTTTTTTCAACAAAACAGTTTGTCACTGAACTTTATCTCAGTCTCTCTATCTCTCTTGCCCTTTCTGTGGCCTTATTATTTTGAATAGTCATAAATATAAAATCATTTTTACATATTTATTTTTAAAGGATTACTGCTTACTTTGATTTTATTAACTGAAAACATGTCTTATTTTGAAAAAAATGATTTCCAGTTACATAACATCCATATTGTTGTTATTTCTAGTTAACGCCTATTGCACCTCTAGTCGGGTATTGTTAAGGAGTATATATTCCAAAATATTTTTTCTGCAAATCTCTAGACGTCACATTTCCACACAGATTAAATATTTATATCATCGATATATCTAAAACGCGCTTGTTCCAAAATATTCATTTGAACGTGTAGTTATGAACATGTGCTAAGTATCTATTATCACGCGATAAGCCTTTTCAAATACCGTTGCTTTAATACTGCACGGCTATTAACTATTTACACGTAAAGGTGTGGTTCCAGTGCACGCGACCAGACTGGAACTTGCGATTATGAAATTCACAATTGTTTGAATGTTTTTTTACAAAAATGGTATTTATTAACTCCGGGTATTTAATCAATCTGCTCTATTATGTGAAGACGTATCATTTCTAAGTATCAGAAATTCTAAATTTTCCGGTTGGTACAAAGGTTGGTAAAGTACTTTTAATACATAAGGAAACTAATGTATTTCATTCATTACTTAAATTATAACGTTTCAAAGTATTCATACATAATTTTGAAAGCTCTTTCCAGAATATTTTGATTGATAGGGTTTTTATTTCAATTTCTGCCAGTATATATTGTTTCTGAATGAACTCAGAACACGACGGAGCAATCATAACGTTTGCCACTACTGTCGTATGCACGGAAACCACAGCTTAAGCAATAATAAAATACAAAGCGACGGTGCCGCCGTACACTATTAACAATAAACATTAGAGTAACTTTGAACAACACTGGTTACTGAAAATGTGGCATCAATACCGTTGTACTAAATTTTATATTTTGTGCTGTGGGATTGTTGTACTAATACAAATACAAAACTAAATGAAAATCTTACTTTAAGACAGGTAAGTTCAATTTTGTATAACTCATATTGACTAAAAATGCAATTTATCTGTACTATCAATTCAAAAATTCAGCATCTTATCTTAAATATTGAAAACTGCTAAGCCGGTCAGATAACGAGAACCGTAAAAATGGAAAATCTCGCTTTAAGCACAGCCTGATTCACACAATGTTCTCATTTCAACATAAACTTTGACTAGTTATTCAGATAATTGCGCTTTTAGTCCTCGTCACCTGAGCATTCCAAGACAGCATTGAAGAATTTTATTGAAATTTAAATGATGATAAATCAGGTAACATTAGCCGTTTTGGGTAACTTTGCAACTGTTTCAGCTTAGTTACTACAATTCATACATTTGCCAGAATACCATATAAATATTCTATAAATCTTTTAATATAATAATGTTTAGTCAAATCTTAAATAATTATGTTTGAATCAAAAGTTGAAACTTTTTGAAGATTTGAGCCAAAGTAACCCACTCTGATAGCACTTCTGTTACCTCAGAAAGGCACGGTTTTTTAAACTAATTGAAATGTACGTCACTATTACACAATGACAATCGTGTTAACTAGAGGTGGAATTTGATGCCACAGTGTGTGTGTGTGTGTGTGTGTGTGTGTGTGTGTGTGTGTGTGTGTGTGTGTGTGTGTGTGTGTGTACGCGTTGTAAGATGGCGCGCGCTCGCACAGTCCGGGGGTTGTAAGTCGGGTCGCTAATCGGCGGGACGCGAGGGAAGGGACCGTGGTGGCAGTGGGGACGCTGGCATACTCCAACTCTCACTGTTACCCCATCTGTATTAATTAGAAAGGAATTAATTAATTTTACCTTTGGGAGTAATTTAAATTATGAAGTGTAATCGTAGCAACTAAGAAACCATCCCTGTTTTACAGAGATTTGTATTTCTGGTATTGCTCAGTGAAGTAAGCTCTGACAAGAGCGATGTAGTTTTTAATAAAAAAACGGTTCGAAGTATTTTTTTTGACATTCGCTCATAAATGTTTTAGACCCCAAGATATAAGCAGTGCGTTACACTGACAGTTAGTTGTATTTTTGTGCTGAAAATGAGCTCAATTGTCTACCAGGAATAACTTCACCCAAAAACGCGGTAATTGAACCGAGCAAATAAGTCATGATCAGAGAGGCAGATTCCCTCGCTTAAGAACTAGAGTTACGTAAAAAGGTGATTGTTACAGAAACGTTACACACCTGTGTTGCAGATGATGGTTGTGGTGCGAGTCCCGGCGCGCTGCAACGTGATGCCACTTGACGTACCCGCTGAGCCGGCGCTTCACCAGCCCGGCCAGCGAGTGCAGCCAGCCTGCGACACATATGTCCCACGTGCGACAACCCTGGCCTATCCCACCGACACGACCCGTCCGACTAGCCGCTCTGCCCGCTCTGACACATACCGACTCTTCGGTTGACCGCTATACATTACATGTATGAACATGTTCGAAAGATCTTAACTACTGAAGTGTAAAGACTATTTAATTAAAAGTTCAGTGAAATGAAAACTAGCCGACTAGGCAATAAACGAAACTAATCGTTTATTATCACGTAAGCCGTATGCTTATTTCCAACCTCCATTAGGTAGGTACTATTTTTGTTCGATACCGTCATTTGTTTTTTACACAAAGAAGTCGTCAAACAAGCATACGTTTCTGCTGTGTAATTTAATCTCTACTACTATAAAATGGGATATAATGAAACTACGCCTGGAACAGTTTAAGAAAATGGCCACTGCTGGCTAACTATGTTACAGCAACTAAGTTTTAATAAAGGTCTTCTTAAGAGGCGATTTACTTTAATTATAGATAAACCGCTTAATTGAGTCCTCGCCTGCGGGGTACAGGGGCGCGAGGGAGAGGTGCGGTCGGTAGGCGTATTCTTATCACGCTACGAGCGCCCACCGCTCACACCTCTACCGGTCCCCGTTCTCGTCCTACCTCCGCAGACGAGAAATCAATTAAGCGGTTTAACTATAGTAATTTATTTTAACACGATTCAAATTTGAACCGTGTGTAAGTGTCAATACGCTTCAAAGTTGGACAACCAAAGAGTCAGTATTGTTGCCCTGCTGATGTTACTGAGCGAAGCTACCGACATGATGATGATGTGATGAATGGTGTAGCGGACACACCTCGCTAGTGTTAATTATACATTTATGAACAGTTCACAGGATAGTCTTAGTAAATAGAAAGCGTGCTCACCGACATAGAAATACAATGACACACAAATAGTGCCACAAAAGTACTGTACAATTGAAAACTGAAGATTATAATAAAATATGTATATATGAAATTGTGTAGAAGATGTTGAGAAATAGGAAATGCTAAATGAATTGTTACCTGGTTTTAGAATAATTGAAAATATCACTGCAATCTTTTGAAATATAAATAGGTCCAAGATTTGAAAGACGATTGATTATAAAATTTAATCTCGAATTTAAAATCGATCTTGTATTTAAAATTGAGTTGCGCTTGAAAGCTTTAAAAATGTCGTTATTGGTTACAGTGTCTTTTTTTATATATATAATAGGGGCAGACGAGCAGACGGGTCACCTGATGGAAAGTGACTACCGGCGCCCATGAACGCCTGCAACTCAGGAGTCACCAACGCGTTACCGGCCTTTTAGGAACGAGTACGCTCTTTTAAAGATTTGCAGGTCGTATCGATCCGGCAATATCGCAGACGATAACTTATCCCACAGATTGGTTGTGCTAGGCAAAAAGTGTCTTGGCAAAACTGGTTAAAAATGGCACAGAAAATGAGTACATACCAAACGAATATATTAATGAAGACAAGCCGTGGGTGATGATGATTTAATTAAACAATACAAAACAAATATTTAAAGCTTGAAGTGATTAATAGAACGAAGTAGAAGCTCGCCGACGGTTTATTCTTACACCTTACGGTTCCAAGGAAATTTTCCACGCGTGAATGCTTCGGTTATGGATTGAACTCCTTGCCGAACGTTTACAGTACGGAGTTCAAGAAAGTTGTGTACAGATTTTTCAACGGTCGGCATCTCGCCTTTAATTTCTCTAGAATTGCAAGCATCTTTAAGCTACAATAATCACTACTCATCAGACGGCATGCTTGATTGCCATAGACGAGGAATAAAAAAATATTGGATCATACATTAGAGCTCTAATAGAACTCGCTGGTAACTTCAAAAACAGGTTCGGTCCTTGAATACAGTAAGACTAACGTTCCAGGTCCTTGACTTAACTACTATAAGGATACATTCGTCGTCGTAAAATTAAAAAACATATATTGTAATATTAAAATTTTCTTTAAATTAAAGCAGCACCACAGGCTATGTATTTCTAGTCATGAGAACACTTGAAGATAACCTGTAAACCGTCCAATAAATACTTCACAGAGCTAATAGTAATTACTAGCAACGCTTCCCAAGCGAATACGTTCCCGGTGTACACATATATAGACCTTATAAGCTAAGTGTTAATGTCGTGTTTAGTGTAGCGAGGCATGTGACAGAGCTACTAATGGACAGGCGATGTGTGGGGCGGAAGGACAGCGGCAAAGCACAGATTACGTAACGAGGAATGTTTCAAGACGTACAGTTAACTTTAAAAGCAAAAAAATATTACAGATAAGAATGAAATCAAAATCAGATGTGTCCGTTTTTTCTAAATATACGCGTTTATTTAAGACTTTTAAATGCTTTCATGAACTTTACGATTCAACAAAGAAAATAACTTTCAAATTCTACTATCGCAAACCAATTGGCGATAGTGCGTATTTTGGTTGGAATACCAAAATACGCACTAGCATACTAATGGATATCCTTGACTCACTTTTGTGTTTTGTTTGTACAGTATTTGGCATGTGTAGTCAATGGCAGTTAATCAGTTGCCTGTATTTTATTTGTGGAAATATACTTCATGAGTATATATACTTCGTAGTAAAATTATTAATGTTTGTAGACGCCTGTTTTTTTTTAATTAAATACAAATTCCGCATGACTCCTGGACATTAAATGTTAATTTGAATATTAATAAAGCTTTGCATGAACTGTATGTGTTTAGAAATATTCCTCATTATGTCTTTAAAATACAATTACATCAAATAAGTTTGTAAGACATTTGTGGAGTACAAACAATTTCGAAAGCTGACCATGAATATTGTTAGATATTTGTATGCTGACAACACTAATATGCTACAAATTTTTAAGAATACCGAGAATATATACATACATGACATCGTTTTATATACATATTGTCGATATGGGGTCCGAATAATAAAAAAAGAAGCTCACATATTCATTATTATAACTAACTTGAATTTAATAAATAGTTTTATCACTATGTATGACCAAAAGGCTAAGTTTCAAACTACAAATATTTATCAGACATTCTTTTTAATATTCATTCTAGAATGAAGATTAAGTTTATGGTGTTTTAAAAATATATGGTCATTTTGTGACATAATATTTACTAAATTCTGAACATATCTTATTAAGATGGTGGCCTCAATAGCTCCAATACGTTGTTGTGCGAAAGCCTATAACCGCGAAGCACAAAGGAGTGCGTCAAAAGCGTAAGTCCCATAACTTTATGGTTTTTACACCCTGTATATACCATAAGGAAGGGTTTTGAAATAAACTGAATGAAAATGATAATGGTTTGTGAAATGATTGCATTTTTTTGGTTATTTTTCTTTATTTATTTATGTTTGAGAAGATAAAACTATGTTCTAGTAAGTGTTTATAATTTAATATTTCTACTAACTAGGAACTTTGACAATACTTTCATATTTTAATTAATTAAATAAATAAAATAAAATACGAGAAAATATGATTACAAATTAAAAAAAATTACTAAATTTTTATTTATAAGGTAATTTAAAAAAGAAACGAATATGTTTCAGAACAAAAATCAAATAAAAAAAAAACAAATATTAAATATGGAATGCAATCAGTTCACACATTCAAACACAGCGCGCGCGCAGAGCGGCAAGCTGCGTTGGAGTACACAACTCGCGACCTGTACTTGTTCAACTGATACTGACGACGGTAGTCAGAGGCTGGCTGCCCTCCTTCGTCATCAGAATAAGGTGTTGTCAATCATAAATACATTATTATTGTACACTTATAATATCTGTATTTATATATTGTAATTGACACCCATCACCACACTGTCGGTTTTTGAAAATCGAGTTTGTAATAAAAAAAAAGTAAAATCCTGTTCTTATTGTTTACAAAGTATAATTATTATTGCAAGTAAATCCATACTAAGTGAGATGTTGGGTGTCAATCTGTATGTTTTGAATTCAGCAACAGTTGATTCTACAAGCAGCAATGACACTTATAGAATAATAAAAACGATAAAATATCGTTTTAAAAATAATATAACCACCGGAAATTATCAAAACATTTATCTGGTAAGGAGATAAATAGCTCTGACAGTTTCTTTTTATAAATAAGGGTCCTTGCTTGGAATATGCTTAGATATAGTGTATGCCAGGATTAATTCGATTTATAAATGTATATTTTAAAGAAAGTAACGAAATTGTTTCTTTTTTTTAAATGGCAACTCAGATTGACGAATTTGTTTCCTAACTATAGCAAATTAATATGGTACACTGGGACGAAACACATTTAAAAAGTTTATGAGTTCTTTCTAAGAAACCGCTAAAATCGTCTGTTTGCAGAACTCTGCAGATACAATAACTGTATTTAAGTACAGTTGGATTGGGACTATACTTTGAGCTTTTATTTTGAAATCACCTTATAAAATACCCTTGTATGTCGATCAGTCAATTTTGTTTTTTCTTTGTCAATTAAAATAATAAAAAACTGGATAACAGTTCAAAGTAATTTGGACCTAAAGCATAAAGTAATTAGGTATATTTAAATATATATTATATTATATGACCCGCTACGATATTATATCTGGCGATATGCACTTAGCGAGGTCAGCGTACTCACCCTGGTCATCGTGGTGATGTTTAGGCGGCGGGTTGGGAGGAGCGGCCATCTCCCGATAACCGTTGCGGAGCTCAGCGCGAGTCAAACTCTGACTGCGACCTTCAGATAGCCTGTAGAACATAAACACAACGTCGGAGTGACCATTATCTTTTAAAACTTTTCGTTTCGACACCTGATAAAGAACGTGAAAGGATTTATGCGGGACTATGTGTTGCTCTTTTTACTCCACTAGGGGATGACAGAGAGCAGTAAACGGCAGAGAGTAGGCGATAGGAGGTCGATAGTGACCTTTCGTTAAGCAGTAGCGGCGAGGGCGGGTGCAGGCGCTCGTGCAGCGCGGGCGGGTCGAGGTCGGCGCTGCCGTTGGGCTCGGGGCCCAGCGCGGGCTGCGGCCGGCTCGTGCGCGGCGGCGGCTCCGGCGACCGCCCCGTGCTGTGCTCTCTACTTAAACTGGAACAACAGATAACATTTCGTAAAACTGTGACACACATATCATGGATTCTGGGACTTCTTATATGGCGCTATTTATACCCAAATTAATCACAGCTTGTACTATGGGTTCTAGAATACGGGTACATAAACATAGTTATAATCATCATCATCAGTCTTTCATCGCCCACCGTTGGACCATAGATCGGTCTAACTGGCTGCAATGTGCCCTACACTATGTTGGCCTAGACCCGGTCCTCACTCCATAACTCTTCCACTTCATTGGTTATCAGTTCGTAAGGCAATATGGCCAGGCTTTTGACACTTCAACCTGATTATTTTTTGAGCTTGTATCTGTTACCTTGGTATAAAATGTTGGGCCAATTCATTACAAATCAAAGTACAGATTTTTTTATTTGTACTAGTGCATATTAAAGCGTTATATTATTATTAAATGCTACCAATGTATAGATCAGCCACTTATTTATAATTTATTAATAAATTACTTTGTATTCTGAGATTTAAAAGATATTTATATGAGGTATATACAATATGATACAAAATCAGGGTTTCTCACATTATTCGCAGATTCATTCAGTTAAAAATACAATAAATTACCTTCTATGCCTAGGCGTAGAATGAAGATCCACTCTAGATCTTCTCTGTTGGTTTTGATGGTAAAACCTCTGTAGGACTATAGGACTAGTGTTGCCAGAACTCTGTGGACAATATATTTTACAAACAACTAATAAATAATTAATTAACGAAGGTTATTTTAATTAAAAGACAGACTAACGAGAAAAATATTTTTTTCCAAAATCTAATCTTACTAGTATTGTTAAATTATTAAGTGTATTTTTGCGAATTGTAAGTAAACAAATAGCAAATAAAAATCTAGTCCGCAGAGTATCATTTAGATGATCATGTTTTTGTTAATGATACATATATTTTACTAGCGATCCGCCCCGGCTTCGCAAGGGTGCAATGTAGATACAAATAATACAAGTAATGTAGTATACATCTACACAAATAAATGTAATGTCAAAATAATAGGTTTTTTCATGCTCACGGTTATTTGCACGATACCTATGCTTAAAACCAGTTTAATTTTTTTCGTCTGTCTATTTTCTCCGGGTAATCTTCAAAGCGGCTGGATCGATTTTGATAATATTTTACTAGCACGTAGCTGTCTATGTAAGGAGTAACTTAAGCTCAGAAAAACCCTATTTAATTGCCCGGTCCGGGAATCGAACCCGAGTTTTCATGAACTGCAGTCGCGTACCATACTACACTACTAAGGCAGCGCTTTTTAAATCCGCGGGTACCAGCTGGTCCAAACTTAAAATATTTAAGAGTAAGGTGCAGCAGTGTTAAACTAATTTAAAAAAAGAAAGAAAAGTAATTTAAAAAAAGAAAGATCAGTATTGATTAGACGAGTAATATTTATACATGACAGCTTATAATCAGTACGCATTCGCCAATTCTGGACAAAATTATTTGGAAAAACATAACTTAAACATTACTATTAATATCAACTTAATGTGTAAAAAACTATATACTGACCGCTGGTGAGGCTCTCCATCTATTATCAGCCGATACCCTCCGAACGGGCTGCGGGGGAGGTGACGCGCATGCGTCAATTGTTCTATAACGTACAAAATTACATTTCATAAATCAAAACATTGAGAGAATTGCTTTATTTATAGTCAGAGCTTTTCGGTGAAGCTTTTTAGTATACTATACTGTTTCCAAAATACAAGAACCAGGAACGACTGCTGTGGAGACCGTGGTAACCGTGGTCCCTCTCCTGGCGCTCACTCTCTAAGCTAGTTAGACACTGTCTGACACATTCCTTGGCGTGGCGAATACGACCTGACCGAAGATCTCGGGTGGTACACTCTGGTTGCTTTATTTGAACATACCATATGAGAGATTCTCTCAGAAGACTTCATGGACCGATATGTACGTTGTCAGAAGATCGTAACATTTACCTGCGTCTAGGATAAGGCGAGTGGTTCGAGAAGTCAGTCTCCAAGCTGGCCGGCTGCGAGCTGCTGCCGCCGGCGTTAGCGTTGCTACTCGTCGCCCACCACGCCCTGGTCAATCACATCAACATTTAATACTCATCCACTACTTGATGATGTACGAGTACAATGATTAAAATTTTAAACTAGACTATAACCCGGCAATCTCGTGCGCGACCGTCCCGCAGGGTGACAGACAGTGGCGGGGGCGAGGTAGCGCGTCATTCTAGCACACGGCTACACGCATTTCCGTTCCCCGCTACACCACCCGCTACCCGCTGACATCTTGAGTACCTCGTCCCCGCCACCGTCTGTCACCTCGCAGGACGGTCGCGCACGACGTTGATGGACTATAGTTTGGGCTAGTTTGGATTGGGCACTGGGTTTGCAATAAAGAAGTTGAGTGCTACCGCCATGAACGTGCTCCTAACACAATATATTAGCTAGGCTGGAAGGGTTATAAAGAATAGACGAACAATAATAATTATAATAACTTCACACGTCTCACACACGGTCTGATCCCAAACTAGGTAGAACCTGTGTTAAGGTTACCAGACTGAAATGCATACATATTATAAATAATTTACACCCAGACAAATGACTGTGCTCATCACACACTATTTGTCCTGGGTGGAAATCGAAACCAGGACCTACGGCTTAGCAGTTAGGGCCACTAACCACTAGACTGACAGGCCCGTCCTCAATTGTGCCGAAGCTCGAGTCTTCCACAGTATAAATACGTAAGTTCCTAAAGGTAAAAATATTATCGCAACAACTTTGATTAAGTAATTAACTTCAGAGAATCACAAACTACTCTACACTACTCACAAACACGCCACTTAAACTCCACGTGACGTAAATATTTGCTATATGAAAGTAAATTTGAACTTTATGACAGAATCTTTTAGGTTTAGTTTGCTATGATCAACTGACCGAAACATTAGAAAACATACTCTATAAATGTAATGCAGCGTTATAACTCTCATATAACCTGTGGGCCTAGTGTGAGTCTATTTCACATCAAATCGCACTCGAAGACGAGCGCGTTCAGCGTTGCGTATGGTGAAGATTTCAGTACAATGACTGCACGGATGGCGTAGTGGTTTAAGCGGTCGCCACACCGCTTACTACTACGCTAAGTGCTGTGGGTCCGATCCCCACATTTGACTACATTTTGTGTGAGCCACAAATTGCTGTTCTGAGTCTGGGTGTTCTTTGTGTCCGTTTCATGTATGTTTGAAGTCTCCCGTGACACAGGATATACCTATCCCTAATGCGGGAATCGCAAGTCGCAGTCGCCGTGACGATCGCCTATATGTGAAATAAACTCACACTATGGCGCCTGATGCATGAATTTTAGTGTGATACTTAACATCTATAAATGCTGTTTAGTTTTATGCCAATGCCAAATACGTGAATATGATAATGGAACTAGTCAATCATTCAAATTGTGAACTGAATCGCGTTAGGTACGTACTTTATAGTTACAGCTCCATTCTTAGATGAAATTTCAAACAACCTACAAAGAATTTATTACATTTATCAATACATATTTTACTAAATATTTTCAATTTCCACTATTTGTTATCATATACAAAATTAGTTTAAGCCCTATAAAGTCCAATAACTGTCTTCGGAACAGAACTTCGATAAAAAAAGCCGTATCGAAGTAGATTGTAGTATTGAAAAAAGTGGTGTGGGTCTGTTTTCTGGACTTCCTTCTGACAAGGCTCAACTATTTGGTTATATATTTGTTATATTATATTTGGCTCAACACGGGTGGTTAAAGGCCGATAAACACAAAGATATAACCAAAAGTCAAATAATCAGAACATTTTTAATTAACTCACCGAGTAGGCGTCGGGGTAACCTGCTCCATCCAGTGCTGGGAACTCGTCACAAAGTTCCTACCCGGTTGAGGAGTGACAGGTGTCTCCACTCCGTTGCTCGTCGTGTTAACAGCATGCGTGGCGACAGTCGATACCGAGTCAGCCCTGGACATCGTGCTTTGCCCCGAGAAAGGCAATGACGCGTACCACGCACCGACGGATATCGAATTACGCGCTGATTTCACTACGAAGGGATGTTCTAACAGTTTGGGATACTTTGGTCGCTGTCTATAGTTTTTTGTTAGGCTGAAATAAAGGATACATAAAAATATGAGTTAGGATAACAACAGCTTGAAAGAAACAACTTTGAGGAATGTTGGTCAAAAGAAATTGACAGATAAAGTAAAACAGTCAATTACTTGTAAAAGGTACATCATGATTAATATATATTTATTAGTTTCTTCAAATTTGAATGGAACAAATGGAAAGTATAGGGTAGTAAGTAAAAAAAGAAATGTCCGAATCCTGAGGGTTCTGGCTAACAAACCAAAAAAAAGAAAACAACCAAAATTGAGTACCTTTTTTTCAGTCTGACCTGAAGATTTTTTTTAGGACTATTTAATAAACACAGAGTTAAAATTATAGGGTGTGTCGTTTTTCTTATTACAAAAAACATATCGTTGACAACAATGTTTTTTAATTTAAAAAAAAAGCAATCTCTGCTATTTATCTGCATTATGTTTGACAACCGTGTACCATACATATTGTACTGGTAAAATTAAAAACTTCTAGAGCCTAAAATCACTAGTTTGTTGTATAATAGATATGTTTGTTTGATGATTGTCTTTAGAAATGTCACAGATTAATAAAAAAAAATTACATTCAAATTTCAACGTATAAAGCCATAGACAAGCTATATACTTTGTGTATGGATTTTCTATGGCTTTTAACCTACATAACTTACCACTGTGACACAAATAATTTAAATTCTGGCGTAAACTCCGTGTCCTCCGGAAGTCGCGGTGGATCATCAGCTATTACCTGCAAAAAGATATAAAATAAAGTCGCGAATGTCTGTCCGTATGAACGCAATAAACTCAAAAAGAACAGAAAGGATTTTCGTACAGTTTTGACCAATAGATTGTGAGTGTGATTCCTGAGGAAAATTTGTATAATTCGTGGTGGTTTTACGTAAATTAACTAAAATATAACCAACGAATTATTGTTGAAGAGGTCACAAAAATCTTATGCTATATAAACCGAGCGAAAAAGGCACCAAGGTTACCGATATCCATGCGGGCGGAGATGCAGGCGGAAGCTAGTAGATAATAATAAAAAAATATTATCTCTTCACAAGTTGTATACATTAGTTCAAATACTTAAAATCTAAGCCATTATATAATATAATAACTACAAGCAGATTCATGATTTTATTTTAGACATTTTTAGTTTCATAACTTTGCCAGCAGTTCCTTACTAAGATTCACTATTTTCTGACTACTTTTTAGAAGTTATTATCATCATCATCATCATCATCAACAGACTTTAACAGTCCACTGCTGGACATAGGACTCTAATTAGAAAGGAGGTTTTGGCCTAATACACCACGCTGGCCAGACGGGTTGGTATAAGTTTTCCTTCTTTTTGCAGTGCTGGTGTCCTGCGTTTTTTGCGCCCTTAGTCGGTTCTTACGACACCCACGGGATGAATTGGGGTAGTGACATTTCGTATCCTTCATCCGTCACTACACGGACAGTAGAAAGTAGTAGAAGTTAGAAGTTACAGACATGAGTAATGCATTAAACCACTTTTAAAATGTGACGACTACTATACTTGTACTATACCAGTAATTTATACTGTTTTTTGGAGCAAGAATCCTATTATTTCATCTGGTAACACATTTAAAAACTGTCGTTACGTTAACGTTATCTAAAAAACAGTTCCGATCTATTCTCTCTCTCTCTCTCTGTCATAAAAGGTAATATAGTATTCAACATCCAACTTTGAATATCGTATTGTGACCGAATGTTGAATAGGTATTCTGCTCGTCTTAGTAATACTTTACTTATCAAGGCAGTCCAACTCACCCTGGTAAGAACTTCAAAGTCATTTTGGCAGTCTCTGTAAGGGAACACTCCGGTGGCAAGCTCGACAAGTGAAATGCCAAGCGACCAGACGTCCGCGCGGATGTCGTAGTCTGGCCGTGTCGGATCCGGCGGGTCTATTCGCTCCGGCTGTAAGATGTATAAAGAAATTAGTTGTGTTTAAGGCCACTAATAAACAGCTAGAGTTAAAACTTTGTAGTTTGTTTTCGGTTCTTCTCCTTTTTTGGTACAGGAGGCAAGCGAGCAGCCGGGTGACCTGATGGTGACTGCCTCCCTTGGATACCTATTTAACCCGGTTTTCTGTGAAGCCATAGTGACACTTGTTTAGACGTCCCATCTGTGCCGGAGCATTGCTCTGCCACGGTTTCTTTTTTTTTTATATCTAAAGATTTCATTTTTTCTTTTTTATTATTTGAAATCATCTTAGACTCTAAACTCATAGATCAACACATACAATAGCAACAATTGTTTTGTCAAATATTTACCAAAAAGAAGTCAATCCATTATATGCCTGTGCCGATCTACAACTGCTCGTTTCGTGAGTGGTATTCATATTACATTACACGTTCCCTAGCAGGTTGAGGGATTATGCCTTACGGATATACTTATATACTAATCAGTGTAGCAATTTTCATTGCGCAATGCAGTATTTCAGATAAGAAGTTGTAACGTTTACCGCCATATACGCAGCACAGCCGGCGCTCCTCGTCTTGGCTTTCGAGTCTACGAGCCGTCCGCTGATGCCGAAGTCACACAGTTTGACGTTACCACGCTCGTCCAACAAGATGTTGCTTGGTTTGACGTCCCGGTGTATCACGCCGTGTGTGTCTTTCAGATATGATAAAGCGTTCACTGTCTGTAGAGCAATATTATACACATTAAAAAATAATTAATGAGGCAAAAATACAGGTAGGGTTATTCAGTTAATAGTAGGTTTTATGGGATTTATAATCGATTAGATTATTGGTGAGCGACCCTGAGCTACTAGAGCTATCCCTTTCCTATTTCTTCTTTCAATATACAATCTTACGTTTCTGATCCCTACAGTGAACTAAGCACTGTGCCAATTACAGAAGAGGAACTAAAATTATAATTAGCAATATGTGCGTTATTAGTAAGCCTCTTTGTACCCCTTTGGGGATATAAGGGCTCGTACACACAGCAATATTTCACCGAACGTTTTATTTCGCAAAATTCTGTGACACATGGGATCTATATACGGCTATCCGCACTGGCCGAAAAAAATATTAAAGCCAAAAAAACTGATTTGATGCAAATTGAACGTGCTACGGTATCGATTTATTTCCGCGCGACTAAAAACCGCGAGGTGAAACATCGCTGTACGGACGGGCCCTAAGCGTGAATGAGCGCACAGCGATATCTATATATATATACTAGCTGACCCGCGCAACTTCGTCTGCGTCTCTCAATAGTAATAAATTTTCTCCGTTTTTGAAACATTCTTCATTGGTGCTCCGCTCCTATTGCTCTTAGCGTGATGATATATAGCCTATAGCCTTCCTCGATAAATGGGCTATCTAACACTGAAAGAATTTTTCAAATCGGACCAGTAGCTCCTGAGATTAGCGCGTTCAAACAAACAAACAAACAAACTCTTCAGCTTTATAATATAAGTATAGATGAGATTTCCACGTATATAGTCACTCATCACGATATCTCTGGAACCATTAGAACTAAAGACTTGAAATTTGGTAGGAATATTATTTTCACAGAGTAGAGGTCTCAGCTAAGAACGGATTTTACGAAATTAAAAAAATATATATTTAAATAATGTAAATAGCAAAACAACGTTTGCAGGGTCAGCTAGTATGTATATAATTATGTACGATTTAGTAAATTCAATTTGATAATATTCTAAAATATATAGATAAGTAAATACAAAATAGTTATTTTAACTATTAAAATCAATTAACAAATGTGTGTAAACTCTTTTGGTTTTCGATCGCTTAGTAGTTATCGACAATTTAATTGCTATCAATAATTCAATGAACTACGTTCGAATTTCGACCTCTGGGAAACCTTTAGTATTTTTCAATTTGCCAAAGAAGTAACGTCACAGTCCTTTTTTCTTGGTTTGAGGAGCTTTCGAATTGCATGGGCTGTACAAAAAGATCATTTGTTCTATTACACTATGGATGAAGTCCTACCAATAATGACACAGGTACTCACCGCAACAGTAACCTTGCCAAGTATAGCCTCAGGAATGGGCGCGCCGAGCCTCTTCAGTAACTTATCGAAGCAAGTGGCCATCAGTTCCATGCAGATCCAAACGTCTGCGTCCGTCACAAAACATCCCAGACATCTGACGATATAGGGGCAGTCGTGAGACCGAACGACTACGTCGAGGTCCATGAGGATACGTTTGGTTTCTTCTGAGTTACCGGAGCGACGCATTTGCTGTAGAGAAAATGAAATTTCTTAATATATCTAGCAGATGACATATTTAAAATCTTAATTTTCCACAATTTCTAAAAGCCTTCATGAATTTTACACTTCAAAACCTTCTTTAATTGTTCGATCAATAGAGTTCAGATAGTCAGATACATATAGACACAGGGAGAGATCCTATTATAATTTATTTCTTCGACTTAAAGAGACTTGAGAAAAAAATGGGTCATCTGGATATAATAAACATAAAAGTATACTTACTTTAACAGCAATAACAGTTTGGGAAGGTTTATGCAACATTTTGACAACATGTCCGCAGGTCCCACTGCCAAGCTCTCCGAGTTGTTGGAGATCTTCCACATGTGAACGGTACTCTACACCATCCACATTCAGTTTCCCACTCACCTATTAACATAACTTCTTTGAAATATACTGGTTAATGTAATAAATTTAATGTGAAAAATTTATAAAAAAAAGTACATGTTTATTACTCTTCTTTTTAAATAATTATTCTATTTTGCTGTGGACTCTCTTAGAAGTAATTGTAACATAATGGACAAAAATATACGTGGCAGAAAAGAGAAACCTAATGAAAATTTATGTCTACAAATCCTATTTACTAAAGAGAATTTAACCCAAAATATAATTTTAATAAAAATAAAATTAATTCCAGGTATCTCACTTTATATGCTTTTTTCATCTAAACATATAAAATCATCATCATCATCAACAGCCTTTAATAGTCCACTGCTGGACATAGGCCTCTCCTTAGAAAGGAGGTTTATAAACATATAAAATAAGAGCCTAAACCGCTAGGGCTACAAATTTAAAATATTGGCAGCTGTAAGCTCCCACTAAGAAAAGATTAATTTATCAATAAGGGGTTAAAAAAAGGATGAATGATTGTGTAGAAATTCCTTATTTCCAAAGTTGTTATTGAATTGTTTTAATAGTTTGAGTGAGGTACCTTATAGACCTCTCGCATTCTGTGTTCAGTTTCACTAGCCTGTGGTGATCTTGGTGGAAAAGCTGGTATGTCTCTGTTTGTCTGGAATAGGGCTGAAATTTAAACAAAAACATTTTGAAATAGTGCACATTAAGATGTACAGATACAATCAACTGAAAACATGTATTGTAAGTTTACTAAGTTTTTATGCTTTTTTTCGGTGGAAACCTTTTTTACTCTAGCCTTTATTATTTATTATAACTTTTAATTAATTTGTCTATATAAGCAGTAGAATTCATTTCTGTATAAAGAGTGAGAGTTTTACAATGAACACAAATTTGCCTATAGGCTGACCTTGTAAAGATTTTTATTATCAGTTTTTAAAACCATCATTTATATTGTCTCTATAGAAAAGCACCATGGAATGCTAGTTTAAATAATACCCATAGAAAGTAGCTAAACACCATTATTAGTCACATATGGTAATCACCAAATTATGCAGTGTTGGGTTTACTTAAGCTTCAAAGGGTACAATGGCAATAACAGTGTCATAATTGCTTTAAGATCTTGCTAATGATTACTATTCTACTAAGATCAATTACTGCAACGTAAATACATTTTGGAATCAAGTAATGTAGATATGAGTTTATGTAAAAATGTTGACCACCCACAGCTCAATCAATGCCAATTTATTCATCAAATTTGTATACAATGTGCTGAATAGGCGTTAGGGTAGTCTGTAAGCACGGTATCACCTAACAATTCATAACACATTATTTGTTATTGAGGACAGTCTAACCTTTAATACCAATAATAGCTGATAATATTATTAATTTCTTAGCTAAATGTGTCCATGAATTTCACTCAAACTTTTGATTATTGTCAACATAATTGAATAAGAAGCACCAATGTGTTTCAGAGGTACAATTATGAATAAACGCAGAGATCAAATTAGATGGTTATAATTTGTGTATGACTTTCGGCCGTGACTAGTTTTTACACGTGGAAATAAGACGAATAACATCTAATTACTCACGAGGCCTTGGTCTTCTACTGCTCCCCGGTCTGGACGTTCCAATTCCACTTTGGTTGTTGAAACCACCTTCTCCTCTTCGACGCATTTCATTTTCAAACCGTTCTTGTAAACCTTTCAGTTTTCCTTCAATTGAACTATTTGACATTATAGTAACTAAAGTAGTCCACCGATAACATTTAAGTACGTATTACAAAACAAATATACTAAATTTTATTTACACAAAAATTACAATGAAAAGCGCAGCAGTCCAAGGATTTCCTTCAATTTCCTTCACCGACCATTTCCATTCAATCATTTTTAATCTTTATCAAGTTTTATCATACGGTCATACGATCAAAACATTCTTTTTTATAACCTGACAAAATTAAAATGTTCTATATTTTACTCTGTCTTCCTTACACAATGCTTACTCGACATCTTGGAACGTCAGATTCAATCTGCCATTTCAATGATCACATTAATTTTGTCGTGTTGTCTTAAATGTTTTCATGTACATTTCCAAAGAGCAGTGGTTTCAGATTTAAGTCAAATATTTGTGTTATTTTCTTTGTTTTATTAAATTTTAGAGTATCTAAAAATAGAAGCTAATAAATGTTAACTTGTTTTCATTCCGACACAATCATATTGGGTTTCTGAACATTATCTGTTAGATGTTCACATCGTTCATTCAATTTTTTAATTCATTTCGCGTTTCTCGTCTTTTTGCCATACATACTTTCCGAAAAGAGAAAACGAGTTTTTTTTTATCAAGTCGTGAGAGATTATATTTGTCCAAAATTTAATATCAGTGTATATTAAAAATCAAATGGATAGGATTATTTAGTGTTAGGATTAAAACACAAGTGTTGTGAGCGAAGTGGAAAAGTGTCAAAAACTTATTTCCATCAATGAAATGACGTGAAAATATTATTTTCTGAATATTTCAGTTCGAAATGTGTGTTTGATTGCAAACGATCATGATGCAATCAACGTCGGAAGGATGTATGAACATTGCTGAGTTAGCTAACCAGCTAAGACGAGAGAAAATTTTTATCAACTCTGAGAGGCAGCTGTTGCAGAAGCTAAATGAGGAGGTGGAAAAGCGTGCATTGGAGCTGTTGCAGGTGGCCTGGGTGTGCTCCCAGCAGCGGCAAAATCTTACAAATTTGATTACGTCGAGATGTGAGGCTGATTCTATAGCTGCTTGCCAGAGAGCAAGTCTCCTTGAGAGAGCTGTTTTTGTTGATGCCTACAAGGTCTTAAAGTATAAGGTAAGTGCCATTATCAATATTATTGTACTAAAATTGACCATGTATGATCCAAATCACTAATGATTGTTTATTTTTTAAAAGGTGATTGATTACATGTCATAAACAATTGTTTTAAAACAACTAGAATATTTACACTTTTAAAATTCAAAATGTTATATACTTTGTAGTAATGTTTGTATGTTTGTAGTAATCTTCTGAATCAGATGCAGTGGAATATTATTATTCATAGAAACATGTATATACATATTTTTATAAAAACTTATGACACATACCTATCCACCCACTTTTTAGAATGAGCTATTGCATTTTGTTTGATAACTCGTTACATGTGTGTAAACTTATTTATAGCCACCATGTCAATGGCTACTTAGTATCTATACAAATAAATGAAATTGAAGTGTCTGTTTGTAATGTGTGATTGTAATGCATGATTTTGTCATGCTCACATAGTTATTTGCATAATACCTATGCCTGAAATCCAGTTTAAATAATTTTTGTCTGTCTGCTTGTTTAAAACAGCTGGACCGATTTTGATAATATTTTACTATCAGGTAGCTGTCTATATAAGGAGTAACTTAGGCTTTTTTTCCTCTCAATAAAACAAAAAAAAATTTGTGGTTCAGGAATCAAACCCAAGACTTCATGGTACCAGCTAGCATAAGAATAAAATTAAAATACATACAAACATTGTGGTTTAGTTGGAGGGATTAACAAGTATACTGTAACCCAGCAATCTCGTGCGCGACCATCCCGCGGGGTGACAGACAGTGGCGGGGGCGAGGTAGCGCGTCATTCTAGCACACGGCTACACACGATTCCCTTCCCCGCTACACCACCGGGTACACCACCCGTACCCGCTGACATCTTGAGTACCTCATCCCAGCCACCGTCTGTCACCCCACAGGACGGCCGCGCAAGACGTTGATGGACCATAGTCAAGTATGACCCACACTCTCTATCCATACCTATATTATAGATGTGAAAGTGAGTTTGTATGTTATGTTTGCACACTTAAACTACTAAATCGATTTTAAAAATTCTTTCATCAATGTAAAGCTACATTATCAGCTAGTAATACTAATCATTTACTTGGATTTCGAACGTGCTTTTGATAAGGTTCCTCACAATCGACTATTGTTGAAACTTGAGCACTTTGGTATGCGTGGAAATCTCCTAAAATGGCTTGAAAACTACCTTGCAAATAGAACATACCAAGTCAGAGTCGGTGAGACATTATCTGAGACAATAAAGGTCCTGAGTGGTGTCCCCCAGGGCTCGGTTCTCTCTCCTATCCTGTTCAACATTTTCACTGCAGATTTAATAGCATTAATAGAGTGTGAGTCATGCTTTTTCGCTGATGATGGAAAGTTCTTTGGTGATCCTGTCATTCGGTCAGGACAACTGCAATCAGATCTGGACAATTTACAAGAGTGGACCAAAGAGTGGATTGCGAAGCTCAATGCATCCAAATGTACAGTATTGCGTCTGGGTAAGAACAACCCTGAAGTACCATACACAATAGGTGACACAATAGTTGCATCTGTCAAGTCGCAAAAAGATCTTGGAGTAATGATAACCAGCAACTTAAAATGGGCTGACCACATCAATATTATAGTTAAAAAGGCAAATTCCTTCCTATATGCTATACGACGTGCATTCCAACACATGACACCTTCAGTTTTCACCAAAATTTATAAAACTTATGTCAGGCCTCTGTTAGAATACGGTTTTCAAATTTGGAATCCCTACCTTGTAAATCCTTGTAAAGGACGTTGACCTGCTGGAAAGTGTGCAAAGGCGAGCAACTAGGATACCGTATGGACTGCGACATAAGACTTACGAGGAACGCTTAAAAGTGTTAAAATTACCGACATTAAAACATCGCAGGATGAGAGGCGATCTTATTGAAACCTATAAAATACTAAGCTCAAGATATAATCTTCCAAATATCAAGGATATGTTCCTCCTCCAGCGCAAGGCGTACTCATCACGGGGACACAGCTTCGCAATAGATCGCTCACACTCACAGTCGCTGGTAGCCTATCACACTTTGAACAATCGTGTTGTTGCGATATGGAACAAGCTTCCGGAAAACGTAGTGACCGTAAAGTCAGTGAACAGTTTTAAGTGCCAACTAGATATATGGTTAGAAAAGCACAACCCATTGGACTAAACAACTGTTTAATCATGTACATGGGAACTCTTACATCACAAACTTACTCCAGTGCAGTGATGTGGACACATCAGCAAGTTTGCTGCTCGTCCATAATACCCTAATAATAATAATAATATAGGCTACTTTGTACTGCGATAACCGTCATATACGCTAATAAGCCTCGGGCAAATCTGGTAAAAAAAAAACTATCTCTTAAGCTGCAAACTCCCAAACTTTCTTTTTTAAAAAGACTACTCCCACATTAGGAATATATCCTGTGTTGCGGGGGACTTTACTAACATACATGAAACAGACATAAAGAACACCCAGACTCAGAATAACAATTTGTGGATCACGCAAAGTGTCACCCCATGTGGGGATCGGACCCACAACACTCAGCTTAGTAGTTAGTAGTAAGAGGGGTGGCGACCGCTTAAACCTTACAACCATCCATGCAGTCTTAATATATATTCATGTTTTAATATTATGCGTGTGTGTTTAAAAATTTACAAATAATATTTTTTATTGTGAATCTAAAACTCTCTCTTTTCGGAATCTAAAAATATAATTTATATTTTCTAGCTTCAATGAATATAAACTATATTATATAAACTGACTGTAAAGTAAAAATATAAAGTGACCCACTGTTAGGGGTCAGTTTATTTCATGTATGTATAAAGTGGTTACTGGTTAATTTCTTTTAATTCCTATATAGAAAATTTTCTTTTATTTATAATATTCAATCAATGTAAAAAGTCAATAGCAATTTATACCAAATTTATAATCTAATATATAAATATCCCATGTCATGTTTAAGGTCACAATCCTCCAAAACAGCTCAACCGATTTTTTTCTTGTGTATTTGGTAGGTAGGTCGTGTTTTTCACTCTAGTACCCTCGTATGCATGTATCTTATACATATGGAAGAACAATGTTTGCTAGGTCAAAATAAGTGCAAAATAAAATCTAACAATGGTAAAAATTGCATATAAAAACTTTCTCATTCGCAATGACAGACTTGGTTTTCTTTTTACCAGTAACGTGGCTTATATAGCGCCCTCTAACACTCTAGCTAAATTAGTAGCTTCCTAACTTTTTTCTCAGACACCACTTTCAAAATATTCAGAACCCCCTTTTTTTTCTACATGGGGTCCACCTATATTTTTTTAATAATCTCTGAGCTAAACTAAAGATCTACTATTCTATCCAGTAAAATAACTATCCTATGCACTAATGCACTAGATGGGTTATAAACCTGCAGCCACTTGATCAAAAGTCGTACACCATAATTTTTACCCTATCTTATCACAATCGTTAACACTAATTAGTGTGCTAACTGTATTTTAGACATTTTGTTGTAAGTCATTTAAAGTCCTAATTACCTCATTGTAATTAATTACAATGTTTCCATAAAGATACTCTGTTGTTTACTAAAATATACTTAAAAAATTTGGTAGATACTATACTAAATACTATTATTCTTATATGGATGCCATGCTCTTATAAACTATGACTTAGTATCAGTGCATTAAAACAAACTACTTTAAAATATTGTTTCTTTTTAACACGCTTTTATTAGCTTCACCTGTATGTTTGTTTGTTTGCATGTAACCGACTCCTTTGAGCTCGATTTTGCCCTACTTTGAACGATCAGATTTGATTCAAACTTTGCACACCTGTCAAAGGTCGATGACAATGCAATAATCCGATCAAAATATCCGATTATCCTAATTAGATTCGCCAGGATTAATTAATTTCTTTCCACATCCTTTGCATGCAAGTAAGAGAGACAGAGCTAGTGCGCGAACTATGCATGCGTGCAGTTCCAGACTTGCTCTTTCGGGCACTCAGTTCAGCACAACCTTATATGTGACTGACTGTATATGTAACACACCTCTGTGTCTCACTGTTTATATTGGCATCATAGAAATCTTTGAATATGTGCTCTTAACCAAGATACAATCAGAGCACATTTGTACATATTAAGGGCGGTTGATAGTTAGCAAATCGAACTAAGTAATTTATAGTTTAAAAAATTTAACTAAAAAATGAACAATAAATAATAGTTTAAAAAAACTAAAAAAACACGCTTTTATAGAAAATCCAACTAAAAAACAGAAAATAAAGTTTAATAAATTTGGATTAAGAATAGTGTAAATTTGATTAAGTTTGATTAAGTACAGTGTAAAAAAAAATGAATGTACATTACAGTAAAAAAGCGTGGGGTGCATCTGAAGTGCTTTTTATGATATTATCAAAGTGATGATTTTTCTACTCATCTGACAATAAATGTTTATAACTATTGACACTATGCACCCCACGCTTTATTACAATGAAATGCATGAAAAGGACACTGATAACATCCAGACTCAGAACAATAATTTGTGGATCACACATTGGAGCAGTAGGAAGCGGTGTGGCGACCACTTTAACCACTACGCTATCCGTGCAGTCATATTAGTGTACATTGACCTCCAATTTTTTTTTATGGTAAGTAGGTATAGGGGCAAAAGAGCAGATGGATCCAACGCTGGCCATGACCCTTGCAACTCTAGAGGCATTAGTGTGTTCCCACCTTTTGAGTGCCTCCTCCACCCATAATAATGATGGAGGTTTAGAGTCTGGTAACCTCAGTCACTCTGTGACAAGCAATGAAAGAAATGCTAAATACATGTATTCTGTAAGCTTTGCCGCAGCATGGATTATACAATTTTTTATGAAAAGAAAAACAATATTACTATTGCTTTCACTCACCATTCCTCAACTCCATTTAATAAATAAATACTACTGAGCCTTGTCCGTGTGGTGACGGATTAAGAATACTGAGGGTTACCGCCCCTATTCA